CTGACCATTGAGAACCGGCCAAATCAGCGCAGAGGCGCACAACCAATCACAAACATAGTGGACTGATATGTGTTCAACGTTTGCGAACATTGTGCGTCGATGAGGATCCGAACCTCTCCGGATCCCCGCTTGGAACGATCATGAAGCGTCAACACTACCGCTGCACCAATTGGACGGTGAGCAAGTGGGCTCATTTGCCATTCTAGTGATAACGAATCCGTGCGGCTGCCGCAATAGACAGCTTGGCCGTATAATTGATTGACTTGGTACAGGTCAGTTGATCTGTTTTCTCATCTCACTTCGTGTGTGATATACAACAATACACTAACCAGGAAAGGTCAACAGGTCAGCCTGGCCATTTCCAATGAACTGCACAGCGTTGTACGCGTCTTGGGACAGTGAACTCAAACCTACCTTATGAATTTGCGGAACGACTCCCTGAACGGAGTTATGGAGGGTCTTATCCCCGCGTGGTCGTTTCACATGCTATCGCGAGGGAACGTGGAAACGTCTTTACATTTATGTATGGAGTCATGCTGAAACGTGGTAATAGAGCGCAGCGGGTAGGGAGCGGGTTTCTCAGGCAAGAACTCGTAGGATCGGTTCCGGGGCAGACGACTTTTTTGCATTTGTCCAAGAACATGGCCGACAAAGCTTCTGACATCTTGCCTGCATCACCTTATTGGGGAACCTGCGATCAGTTTTTTTTTGAAAGTGTAGACTCATTGTGGCCTGAAAGAGTGTTCTGCTTGTACCCCTCGTACCACGTGTCACAAGGGTTTTTGCAATAAAATACCATAATATTCATGTTCAGCGGGTTAAATTACCCCTGGTGACAACTTTCTAGCCGAATCTGAGATTTCGACCTCACTTGGAAATGTGGGCTATACCATGGGTAATAAGCAGCGAATTGGAGCCCACTTTCCATTGATGACTGCTCTCTGAATGGGATTTCCTCCCGACAGTCAAGAAAATGATGCAGACGGCACAACCAAGTAAGCCAGATACTGTTGTTTGCAAAAAGACATGACTGAAGGGTTATTTCAGTCCGAAGACCAGTTATCACCAGTATGCTGGTCGTAGTATCGCTGTTGGCTATCGTCAGCCATGACTATCCGTACCCCATTTTTTTCGAAGTTGAATCAGAACGTCAGGATAAGGTGACGTCTCCATGGGTTATTTGACCCCTGAACACGAATATGATACCTGTTTTGCGCAAGAGCGCGCCACATGTGCCAACACTTCAGCGCCAGCGTGCCCGTAAAAAGAAAAATAGTAAAGAAAAACCCTTCTAACTCCGCTCAGAGAACCGTTCCGCAAATTTTGAAGATAATTTTGAGTTCACCATCTCAAGACGGGTACAATGATGTGCATCTCATTGCAAATGGCCAGGCTGACCTGTGGACCTTTCCTGGTAAGATTTATATACAAAACAGTTTCTATAATGTACATATGACTACTACATAATTCAAATATACTACTATTATTAAATATTACGAGTCGGATCGCCCGCCGAAGGCGGGCGATCCTCCTTATGCGTGTGACCCTCCGCCATATAAAATTTTTTTCTGCAATTCCAGACTATTGCCGTTTCACCTTTGGTATATACCCCCTAGTGGATGGTTGTGAAGTTTTCGTAAAGGCGAGGGGTGGAATGTCGGTACTCGATTTTTTTCGTGAGTCCATTTCAAGTATGCCTCCTTCAATTCAACCTCGACCCACAGCTTATTCCACGGTTTGCCGCTGCTCCGGTGGTTCGGGTCCGACTCGAAATTTTTACTTCCCTGCCTACCCAGACAAACGCGGTACGACTACAGGCTGCCGTGCTCTTCGCAACGCCCAGTTCGGGTGCGCCTCCTTCTGTTTATCTACCTGATTACTCTTTACTCAAGCCCGTTCCCGCTGCCCGGGCAGTTCCTGGTTCGAATATTGAAGATTTCAATTTGGCCCTGCCCGTCCGAACAAACGCCCCGCTCACTTCGGGTATGCCCCCACGCCCATTTGTCTAACATGGTGCATAGAGAATGATCGTGTCCCCGGTCCCTGTGATCTTCCGGAGGAATTTTATCGTTGGCACTTCGGTGCACGCCCCGTCCATTGTGTGCGAGGCTTAACATACATAGTTTGTGTGTATTCGGTATATTTTCAACATACCCTCAGCCCCCATCCCCAGGTTGACGACGTTTAAGAGTTTGTTGACAACGTTTTCAAAAGATTACGTCCGTGACACCACTCCACTAAATATAGGCCTCGCCCATTGTGGGCGGAGCCTGTTCTCCTATTGGTCCGTCCAACAAACACACAGACAACTTCTGCTTTATATATATAGAGTATGATTTCTGTGGTGGTGTGTGTACGTGTGTGTGTGTGTTGAGTGGAGTTGCGTCGATTGTCTCGTGTGCGTGTGGTGTCGTGGGGGGTGGGGTGTCTTACGACTTGGGGGGAGGGTGTGAGGGAGGACCGGAAGTGAGAGTGGGGGGGTGGGGGGGGTTGGGAATATGTGGAGGGTGAGATTGGGATGGTGTCTCGGGGAGTGTGGTCGGGGGTTGGGAGTTGTACTGGAGTGTGGGGGGGGTGATATTATCATTGATGTATGGGGTTGTGGATTTATTATTGATGGTATGGGTAGTTATGGTGGGTTTGTTTTGGTGTGATATTATTTTATTATTTGTATTATATTATACCGAGTGGCCAAAAACGCACGATGACAAAGCAAAGGGCGGTTGGGAGGGGTGTGTGTCTTTACTTCCTGTGGAATTGTTGTATTCTGGGCCTCCGGGGCGGTGCGTCGGTGGCATAGCGTGCGGCGTTCTCCATTCGTGTGGTCGGGTGTGATTGCCTGCCACGAGGGTGGGGCCGGATGTTGTGGCAGGCGGAGGGGGTTGTGTGGGCTGCGGCGGGGGGGGGGAAGGGGCGGGGGCGGGGTCCAAACCGAGTACCGGGCGATCTTTACTTTGAGGTCGTCCAAATTACGCACTCCTTGCTTCCCAATGTGATTCTTAGCAATACAGAGTATTTCAAGTTACACGATCAGAGCTATCGAATATCTGATACAGTGTTTCATGTTTCCCCAAACTAACTCAATCGGGTTGAGGTCAGGTGACTCTGGAGGCCGCGCCATTGTTTCGACCTCTCAGCCTTTGAGCCTATCTCTCGTATAACGGTTATTTAGGGTGGTGCATTGTCCTTCACGAGACGGCAATACCCTAGAGTGAGAAACTTCAGAATTGAAAAGCTACAATTGATAATACAACAAAACAAACCGCTGTACAATTTAGATTTGGAAGGGAGGTAAAATCTCTCTAGAATTCTGCAGTACAGCTCGCTATCAATCCGGCTATTCCCCGGAAGAATTGCGAATTGGGTTGTTTCTCTCACAGAAACACCACCCCAAATATGGACTTTCGCCGGATGCTTGGCTCGGTTACGCATCCTCGAGTACTGATCACCTTGTTTTATGCAGCGAAACTTGGCTTAGCAGTCAACTGAGAATTCTATTTAATCGAAATGTGAAACTCAGTTTCTCAAAGAGCTCTCCTACTTCGAACTGTGCATTCGTCCGTGAAGATACAGTCAATGAAAAAAGCTCCTACAACAACATCTCCGAGCAGAAGTCTAGACGAGCCACTTTACTGACATCCCTTATAGAGTGGCAGTACTTGCGCTGGTTCTTTTGTGTCCGACTTTCTGCAGGAGCCTCTTGATTTGTGCAGCGCTAACAGTGTTGCCACGTGTCTTCAGGCGTTTCACAACGTCTTGTGCTGTTGCAGAACTATTGTTCTGATGGCACCTCTCAATTTTACGAAGTATTTCATCGCTGTGGAGTGAAGCATACATTCCTAATTATTCATAGAGAGGAGCTTTGAATTTTTCACCAACACGCGAAGGGCACGCGGTGCGTATGACTTCTTCGGAGAATGCGTGCCTTCGAATCTCATTATGAATCGCCTGACTGTCTGATAATTCAAAGACGGTTCGGTCTAAAATTATTTACCAGTAACCTCCCTAAGTAATTCTGGCAACATATGCTCTTGCTAAATGTCCGAAACTCAACTTCTGCAGTTCCACAGTCACTACAGCCATTGATTCCCCTGCTGCCTCAGGTCCACAATAGTGCTAATCTGGTTAAAAATTTCTCACACATCTGCAATGTAAGATAGACAATATAATAAGAGCAGGAGGATGGGTGATAATCAGGTGTTGCCAAGGAGAAGGTAGGTAATAAAGAGGCGTGGATGCCAAGGAGAGATAAGTGATAACGAGGTTTGGATGTTAAAGAGAGAATACGTGATAATGAGCTGTGGATGCCAAAAGATGGATAGCATAGGATGCCGAGTAGGGCGGAACCTTCATCATTTACGCTGGTGCCCTTCTTCAGAACCCCAGGCATCACATGACGGTAAGTTGCAAGATAAGGCAAAGCATGGATGTTCGACCCTCAGTGACCTGATAATTATACAATTAAAAGCGACTGATATAAAAACTCCACTTTATCAGTCTCTGGAGGTTCATCAGTCAGCAGAATGTCCTTCGCTCTAATTTTCTTCCCGCACACACGAACAAGCGATGTGGTGCCGATTTCGTCGATTCCTCACGGCACGAAGACTGGTGATACCACCAAGGTCCGCTGGGAAGGGAGGTCCTACAAAGGGTGTACTGTTTACTACAAATTTGAGCCTGCTTTTGTCATCCTTTCAAGAGTGTGATTTCCATTCTCTTTTTAGGTGCTTTTTGTGGGACCGAAGGAGTTATGAAGACGTCCTCTGTCAGTACTGATGGTCAGCTGGTTGAGAACGTCTTCAATGTGTCCTGCGCTCCTACGGACCAGTGGTCGGCATCCCAAGCAGACACTGCTGAACAGCGGCCAAGCCCGAGGGGGAGGGAGGAAATGGATAGATTCATTAGAGTGAAAGAAGACATCTCCCCCATAAAAAACATGCTGATTTGGATGTAAGAGAAGTTTCTTGTAGGCTGTTGCAGCTTCCTACTGATACCTGTTCATGCTTTTATTTAAGAAAGTAACTCTCACAGCGCAGTCGCAAAGGATGGATAGGCTAGTGCAAATTTGTAGAGAGTTACTGAAAAGGAACCCCCGAAGCAGGCTCAAGGTCCGCTGTAAACACTAAGCTTTTTAGAAACTTATCGGTTCTCTCAGCTTAGTATCTTAGCTTTTCTTAGCTTTGGCAGGTTTTGTACTTTAGCAGGTACTCTTTAGGCAACATAGTTTATGGATACGCTAGCCAAAAAACTGTTGCCGAACTCAGGGAGCTGAAGGGGAGAATAAAAATCAATTTGTTCTGGCTCTGGAGAAGATAATATATAAGGGCAGTCCCAAAGAAATGGAGCTGGTTGTAGACGAGCGCGTTGCGACAAAATAGAGGGTCGTGTTATCCAGCAGGTGAAGCGAATTATAACTGTCTTTCTTTAGTGCAATCGCTGCTTTACGTTCGATCAGTTGGATGACTGCTATCCTGTTCATAATCCTCCCTTTCAGTGTTTGGTCAAATACTACGACAACCCTGAAAACCTTCGCGAAGATGTATGGAGGAAGGCTAAGGATGCGCTCAATAGCCGCGTGCGACGTCTCCGGAAGGCTATCAGGGACGGACAAATCAGCACGCAGAATGTTGATCGAGAGAACGAGTTTTCTCGTTTGGACTTGTATGACTGAATACCCTGCTGAGTGATAAGAACATTATAAGAATAATTCTTATTGAGTAATATATAATAATATATAATAATAATAATAATAATAATAATGATAATAATTATAATATTCAAATAATTGTTAATAAGTCGTAAGAGCGATGATATAATAATAACTAATGCAGTAACAATGATAATAATATTTAATGAAGTAGTATATTTGAATTATTTAGTAGTCATATGTACATTGTAGAAATTGTGTTGTATATAAATCTTAGTGCATTGTTGTATATCACACACGGAGTGAGATGAGAAAACAGATTAACTGACCTGTAGCAAGTCAATCAGTTATACGGCCAAGCTGTCTATTGCGGCAGCCGCACAGATTCGTTGCCACTAGAATGGCAAATGAGCCCACTTGCTCACCGGCCAATTGGTGCAGTGGTAGTGTTGACGCTTCATGATCGTTCCAAGCGGGGATCCGGAGAGGTTCGGATCCTCATCGACGCACAATGTTTGCAAACGTTGAACACATATCAGTCCACTATGTTTGTGATTGGTTGTGCGCCTCTGCGCTGATTTGGCCGGTTCTCAATGGTCAGGCCCCCTGTTAGTTCCCATGGCAGGGGAACGGGGGGCTACAAGGCGGTCTCGGATCTGTCAAAAACGAATGTACTCATGAACAAGCATCATACGGACTTGTGTGTCCCAGTCAATCGTGGAAGGACTCCAGAATATACCTAAGTCACTGAGCCTGATCTGATCAATACTGACAAGGGGAGGATACCAACTCGTCTTGGCCATTCAGGATGGGATGTATACTCATAGAAGCATCTTTAGACGCTGATTTCAGATCTGGCTTCCAAATCCGCTAAACGATTCTGGGACAGAAGTTACGGACCCTTTTTTTCTACTGTGCTTACCATCGCGGTGGGCCCGCTGCCCATACTTTGAGCATGTGAACCCCTCGCGACGCTTCCGCAGACGTGGCTCGATGGCGCAACAGGTACGTGAGCGGGCTCGTAGTGGTGGGACAAAGGTTCGGATCCTTGATGCATTTCGTAACTTGCTTTTTCTTGAAAGGTATGCTAAACACTTGGAAAGTAGTTTTACGTACCAGTTCTGACAGCAGGGCCATCGCTCTGCTCTTATTGAACACTGTGGATGACGTTCGGGAAGGATTGCACTCCCATCTATTCGCTCAAGCCGGGGGCTAAATATAGATTCATATCTGCTTCAAGACCTCCAAAAGTTTTGACCTCTTTGTTGATTACAAACGTGATGTCCGCATAACACAGGACTTCGCCATATGTAGTAGTTCTGATTCACGCTACACCCACATTGTCGGCCAACAGCTCTCGGATCCTACGTCTAATAACGGGCCTTATCTTTCGCCCGACTTTGTTGCAATCACATCTAGTGAAAGAATGTAGACACTGCGGCTGCAGTTTGGAGGTGTGGAGGTCCCGGTAGAGGGGGTGGTGTAAAAGTTATCATTGCTCAAGGGGCTCACTTCCGTACAAGACCAAAGCATAGTATGTGTGTGGTTTACGTGAATGAAGCCATAGCGTGCACCTATCAAGCACAAGGAAGAGTCGCACATTTTCGTGCATGATGAGCAAGTTGCGCCTCATTGCGACCGAATACCACTTGCGCAATCAGGGGAACGGCACTCTCTACCCTTCACTGCTCCAATCATGCAAAATCGTGCCTATTTTCGACCGACTTTTTTTCTTCTAGACAGACTTGTCTCAGTTGTTGCATTCTGTGGTAATTTTACCGCATGAATACAAACATAACATTCGTTTGGCTCGCAGCCTGACGCCCGCGCCACAGGCGCCGGTGATGTGGCGTGTTTTGGAGCCGGAGCCTGTGGCATGGGCCTCTGGGCGAATGCGATATTCATCTTTCGGAGGTTAAAGTGCCCCAGAAGATAAAGCTTTGACCAATCTTACCAACGAGAAAAAATCGGTCTAAAACTGACCAGATTCTGGATGGCTGGGGTCAATAGCGCAGAGAGAACTAGAGAAAAGAAGTGAGAGCAGAGCGATTCACCTCTAGACCTTTGATAAATTCTTATTACGTGTGGACACGCCATCCTATATCAGGACATCTCATGTGCTCGCTTAATGTTCCGCACTAGTTACAACAATATATGCCCAAATATGGCTGCCATATTAGCGCTATCAATATCAATGCATTCCCTGAAGTCGTAATGAAATATCTCCCCAATTCATTCACAGGGCTCAATAAGGAGCAGAGCGGGGGGCCTGATGTCCGAACTGGTACGTACTACTTTCCAAGTGTTTAGCATACGTTTCAAGAAAAAGCAAAACTACGAAATGCTCTTTTACCTGCTGAACCATCGAGCCACGGCTGCGGACGTGTCACGAGGGATTTACATGCTCAGTATGGGCAGGGCACCGCAATGGTTAAGCACAGTAGGAAAACGAATCCAAGGATCGTTTAGATTTGAAAGCCAGATCTGAAATCAGCGTATAAAGATGCCTCTAGGAGTACACATCCCATCCTGAACGGTCAGGACGAGTTGGTATCCTTCTCTTGTTAGGGGTCAATCACCGGCTCGCTTATCATTAGACAGGCAAGCAAAGTAGCTAGAAACTAATCACCAGTCAGAGAAGAGTTCCGCTCACCCCAAAGCAATTGCCATGATGATTATGGCAGTTGTCGCTCTTTAGCCGTGTCTACTGAATTTCGATCGCATTACGTTCAAATTGAAAAACACATATTCAGAAAATGAGTTTCACTAAAGTCATTGCATTGCTCGAAGCAATAGTAGACAACGCCCCAGCTCTTGGGCTGTGTGTATGGTTGGTCGTAGATCGTCAGCGCTTGCCTCATGCTCTCGCCTATTCTGCTAGCCTCAAAACGAGCCTGGCTGCAGCAAAGGCAATGAGCAATGTGATCGATAGCAAGGGGTCAACCAGTAATGACTAGATGATTAATCAGTTAAGGAATGAAAAAGAGGAATTGAATGACTATCAGAATGGAAACTTACATATGCGAATAGAAATCGCACTGGTTGCAGCATTCCGTATTTTCAGCACCATTTTAACCTTGATAAATTCCAAAATCTGTGAATTCCAGTTTTTGAAATCGTATTGAGCTATTTATATTTATATTCAGTAGGAAAAAGAATCCAAGAATCGTTTAGATTTGAAAGCCAGATCTGAAATCAGCGTATAAAGATGCCTCTACTAGTACATCCCATCCTGAACGGCCAGGACGAGTTGGTATCCTTCCCTTGTAAGGGGTCAATCACCGGCTCGCTTATCATTAGACAGGCAAGCAAAGTAGCTAGCGAGGATCCATCCTGCAGGTACCTGCAACACCGCTCTTAATTTTTGTAAAATCGACGGTTCGCCATAACTTCCGTCAAAGTTATCGAAATGACCTGAAATTTGAACCAGTCGATAGCCCTGCACAATGCGAATCCAACGATATATTAACCTTCCATTTTTCTAGAGTTTTTTTTGACGTCTTTCCCGACGAAATTGAGGTTTGAGTCTCCAGTGTCTTAAGGTGTTACCTGCGGACACGGGCGTGCCGCAAACCCTCCAGTCCAATTATGAAATTGACAAGTGCTTCAAGGCCCTCAATACCAGCAAATTCGTAAAGAGCATGATTACGTGATCATTGCGATACTATTCATAATATGGTTTCAGCAATTTTAGCTGAACATCAATGTTTTACTGACCACTCTTCCCTTGAATTCCGGTTTGTATCGGCCATACCATGACTTGAGGAAGAGAGTCTGATTTATGGCCAACGGATTGGCTCCATAGAATATGATAAATTTATTTATTTATTTATTTATATTGTGGACGCAGTATATCTGCGCAATTCATAGTAAGACAGTGACAATCGACAAGTAACATAAATTGAAATCAGACAATGAAAGAAAAAAAGGGCACAAAACTAAGCCGATTCTTCCTATTAGCACTCGGAGGCGGTCCAAGTAGTAGCGTGGGGGCGAATCGCTGCGTGCTGTTGCGAACAGGGTACCCCATAGGGGGGAGTAACTGTTACATATAACAGCCCTCTTTCATGCGAAATCCCCAAAAATGGTTCGTAGCCTGGCCGCGGGGACGTGGGGAGTTTAGGAGTATCGCAAAAGTAGGCTCGCTAGGCATCAAAACAGTACAAAAGTGTCATTGCTAAGTTGATGGAACGGACGGAAAGCTGCAGAAAGACCCGGATGTAAATAGGACCACAGAATTATAAAAAAATTATTAGCAATATAGCAAAAATAGCAAGAATAAATAAATAAATAAATAAATATCAGTCATAGCATGAACTCGTAAGTATTAGAGACTAGTATAATACGTCTTAAACAGATTCGTGCGTATAGTATGATGCACACCGCACACTCGAACTAAACCGATCAGTGATAGCCAAGCTTCTCTTTCACTCATTTGAAGGGAAATATGTGTTTTGAAGGCACACTGGAAGTTTCCGAAGATGTATCCTCACAATGGCACAGAAGGAGTCGATTTTTCGGGTGGGTCAGAGGGTAGCGCGTCTGTGACCCATCTAAAATATCTCCTGAACTAGCGGGTCTTCAGGAAAACTGTGAAGCTTATTGGAAAGTGAAAAGATAGGGCGGTTTGAAGACGATTCTTATCCTGATGAAATTGAGTTTGAAATAAGTAATCCTCGTGTGAAGCATAAAAACCCGCTTCCATTTACCCCTAGCCGATCCGAAACCCATACGAAATATTTCACGGACGGGAAAACATTCAGATTGCAACTGGGTAGAAAACGCAACATCAGGAACATTCTCGTCGCATGCTGCTAACCATTCATCAAAAAGCCGCGCCCCTCAAAGAGATATAACCCCTCCCCCCAAAGAAGACCCCAGGACGTTGGCAGGCCGAACAACCGCGCTCCAATGACGTTTTTCCAATGAAAGCGGTCGCAACCTTGCGATCGATAATAGCCAAGTATAGAAGGATATACTGCCCCCTGGGTATCCATTTTTTTCATATGACTCGCATTTTTTTG